TGATCCCAGACTAGGGCATCAACATCACTTGGGAACTTGTTAGAAATGCAGATTCTTAGGCTCCACCTCCAACTTACTGAATCAGAAACTCTACAGTAGATATTTTAACAAACCCTCCAGGTGATTCCCATGCAAGGTGAAATCTGAGAACACAGAGATAGAGGAATGGGGGTTTGCAGCTGGCTGCCCAAATGGCAGGGAGTAAGGAAGACCAGGAAAGATGGGAGGAGGTCCCAGGAAGGAGATCAGACCCCAGTAACCTGATAGCTGACTGGGGATAAAAAGGGAAAATGTCAGAAAAAAAAATTCCACTGTGGCCTGGGCTAGATGGTTCAAGCTGGTAATCCTAGTACTCTGGGAGGCCGAGGCAGGAGGACAGCTTGAGCTCAGGAGTTAGACACCAGTCTGAGCAAGAGTGAGATGCCCATCTCAAAAAAAAAAATCCCACTCTGCTGCAGAGATAGCTTAGAGACTTTACAATATTAAATATTCAAGTTTAAATGGTTTTCTGTTCTACACTGCTTCATAAGTCACATCCATTTTACTCACACCTGGGGAAAGTTTATAGAAGTGACTGCCTGGTGTTAGTGAGGTTTGGGGCCATAAAGGAGAAAGAGAATAGGAAGGCACTAACGAAGAGGTCAGTAGCCACACAAAGGAAGGCAGCAAGTGTGGATCAAGACTTCAATGACAGCAAGAGTGTTCAGAGCAAAGTAACCAAGAGGAACCCTCCAAAATATTGAGGAAAGTATTAGATTCTTATAGCAGGTCAGAGGAGGACCTCTGTTGCTTCATTTGCATATGAAAGGGACAAGTGGTTTCACCATGAGGCAGAAGGACCTGGAAACATTTAGCTTATGCTTAAGAGGTCTGTGTCCCACCATAAAATAAACATTCACCTATATTTTCTCCTAGGTTACTTGATAGTTTCATTTTCTGTATATAACCTTTTAAAGTATTTAGAATTTATCTTGATACATGGCATGAAATAACCCAAATCATTAATTTATTCAGCAATATTTGTTGACTAACTAACTCTTCCTTGTCCTTCATCATATGGGAAGGTCTATTTCTGGGTCTTCTACTCTGTCCCATTAATCTGTCTAGCTGTGAGCTCACACTATATTTTTATTTTTTG